TCACTTGCATAAGTTCCTTACACATTTTGTATAATAGCCCCTCATTAGATTGATTTGAAAATACTTCTACATACCCATGCAATGTATTCAGTCTTAAACAGAAACACTGCCATTTTTGATTGTCTGGATAAACTGAGAGAACATTATGCTAAGTGAAATAAGACATAGAAAGATAAGTACTACATGATATCACCGGCATGTGGTGTCTACTACAGTTCAACTTAGAGAAATAGTGAATTTTAGATTCTAGCTAAAACCATTTTCTTCCTGCTCAGCATTAAAAATGCTAAAAAAGGGTGGGGGTGGGGGGGTAAGATGACTCAGCACGCACATGGACACAAATAAAAATGAAATAAAAATTTAAAGTTAAAACGTTTTAAATGGGCCAGGCATGGTGGCGCATGCCTTTAATCCCAGCACTTGGGAGGCAGGGGCAGCCAGATCTCTGAGAGTTCAAAGCCAGCCTGGTCTACGTAGGGAGTTCCAGGCCAGTCGGGGTTACAGATAGACCCTGTCTCAAATAGATTTTTAAAAAAAAAAAAGAATACTGATAGGTAGAGAACGGGCGGGAGCGAGCGGGCGGCGCGGATGGAGGAAGGCACGAGCGGATGGATGAGGCACCGAGGCTCAGAATTCTCAGCGGGACACAGATTTATTTCGCACGGGGCACCTTTCCCTCGGGGAAAGGAAAGATGTCAGGGAAAGGAAGGGAAGGGAAGGGAAGGAAAGGGAAGGATGTCCGCGAAGGGAAAGATGTCCGCCCATGGGTTGTGAGCTGGGACTTTACATATGGGGGCTTTAGGGTGTGGAAGGGGGGAATGTTTGGGGGAGAAATCAGGGAGGGGGAAGCAGGTAGGATTAGGGTGTGGAAGTGTCTTCTTTTTCCTCTTAAGATAAGAGGAACTCTGCTTATCTTATCTTTGGAGGTCAGAGGAAAGGCAGGCTGCTTCTCAGCAGAGTTTGTTCTTCTTGACCTCAAAGGTCAAGGTGCTTATCAGCTAAGTTCCCTTTTCCAGGCTCCAAAGCCTGTAGGTCCCTGTTGGGGAGGGGGGGAGCTGCTATTTGGAACCCTAACAAATACCAGAACTTCTTTCTTCTCAACCTCTTAAAAACATTTACTCATCCATCAGAAAACATGAAATAGATCTGGGAAAATATAAAGAGCATCAGAACACTGGGGGAGACTGTAACCACCCCCAGGTCATGCTACTTTATCATTACAAACTTTTTGTGAACTCAAGTTCTTCATCCATTCATCATCTAAAAGGAGGCTAAGGCTAAATGATTTGTATTTTGGCAATTCAGAGGTTTTGTTCATTGAAAAAGTGTAGTTCATTGGAAAAATGCAGTTAGTCTAAGAAACGTCATGAAACTGTAGTTGCATTATCATTCAAACCAACACTTCTGCATCAACCTCTTTCTGGCTCATTCTGCCATAAGTCCTTCTCCAATGAAGCCATTATTCACAATTCTACCAATATTAATCTTCTTGAAATGTAAATCTAACCATGATATTTTGCTTAAAAGTTTAATTGCTTCTGATGTTTAAAGGGTAAAATCCAATTCAATAGAAGACACTCAAAGCTTTCTGTAAAATAACCACAGGCTACCTCTCCAGTCAGTTCCATGACATTTTTTTCCCATCCCACGGGCTAAATAATCCCTTCTCTCCATGCACAAATGCTCTTCCACACTCTCTAAATCTGATAAAGTTGTTCCCTGAAACACCTTAAATCTCTGTAACCTCTTCATCTTTTCAAAACTTGGCTAAATGTCATCGCTTCTAAGAAATCTTTCTTCCCAGATGAAATAATGAAATTTGCAGGTAAATGGATGGATCTAGAAACTGTTATACTAAGTGAAGTAACAGAGACTCAGAAAAATAAACACCGTATGTTCTCTCTCATATGTGGCTCCAAGCACCAAATCCTTTTAAATTCCAGGTCCTTTTAATAAGATGATGCTATACAGCAGTCCCTTCTGTATGAAATAACTACCATCATAGTGACTTTGGCTGAGCCTGAGCACTAAACATAGTCACAATTGGGCTTGCTGACGATTGTGCTCATTCATTAAAGGAGTGCCAAGCAGGGTCACTGAACCCTTACCTGAGTATCCAGCCACTCTTCTCAGCTAATTAATCTAGCCTTGGAAGACAAAAGAAAAATGAGGAAGAACCCAATAGAGGGATGCTTTTGGAAGCCCTTGTCTGTTGGGGACCCCTGTTGTGTAAAGTAGAAGTCCCTTCATGTCCAGATAGCCCATGGGCTCGGCTTCAAATGCAGGGACTCCTTTTTCAACAGAGTGCTTTTCTGGCATCTTCCTGACTCGTC